GGGGGGGGGGGGGACATTGTTGCTATCAAGGGTCTCACTGCCAGTGGAGGTGCAGTGGAGGTGGGTTGGGTTGATGGAAGTTTAGGGTAGGTCACTGTTGAAGTAGGTCTTCTCTGGATACTGGGAAAACAATTGGATGAAATTTTGAACCATGTCATTCTCTAGACCTATATTTACATGCAAGACTGGGACATAGTTGGAAATGGAGGTGGGGTGGGTTGGTGGAAGTTTAGGGTAGGTCACTGATGAAGTAGGTCTTTTCTGGATACTGGGTGGAATCCCCTTCTAATAACCTAGAATTACACAAACTCATTTCTGTAATATTCACAACTACATAGTGTTTACATTTATTCAATCAGCCTGTTGCCAGCAACACCTATTTTTACAATTCATTTTACCTAATAATAAGTGGATACTTAACATTATAGAATTCATCCTATACACACCATTGACTTAAAAGACTAAATTAATCGAAAATCAGGTTAATATTATTTACACGAAAAATGCAAATTATTGATCCTTTGATACAAAAATTCATTTTTTTCCCCCCACAATGAATTAAAAGTGAAATCCCCTTCACAAAGGAAAAGAAAGTTCAACTTGAATTATTGACCTTTGTCTTAGGTTTGCTAACAAATAATCCTGTTTGAAACCAAGAGATCATATTATTGACACTATGTTTCACTACCGGCTATGAACTTGTTCATTCATTGAAGGATCAGGGGGAAAGGGGGAATTAATTAAATAAGTAGCATTTCAATCCTTCAATTGCAAACTTGCAAGATACCCTTAATCTCTGTAATTATAATAAATACATAAGAATTTCACACCCTTGTGCACAACTCCACAGAAAAATGAAATTATTTACCTGGCTCCAAAATATTTCTACAGTCCTTACCAATGATTTATTTCCCCAAGGGTTCCATACCTATAGGAAAATTGCTTTGTATGCAAAATAAACTTCATTTCTGGGTTGATATGTACAGCTATTGTAAAAAAAAATGTTCACTCACTGTGAAACCAAATTGTTCACATCAGTGTTGAATCTGTGTTCCAAATTATTTTGTTCTTTATTACTAAGTAAGTAGTACTTAGCATTGATATGACAAGTGAAATGGGGAGTTTTAAAATTCAGCCATGAATTAAAGTATTCCTCAATTGACGTTAAAATTAAACCAATAATTTTATACAAATTGACATACATTCAATCATATTACTATTTGCACTCCTCAAATACCTGTAAGAGTATGTGGCACACACATTCAGACACCTTCAGTTTTGAAGACTTAGACAGTCTTCTCACAAAACTGTAATAATCATTCAATGCAGCAAAGTTCGCATGAACAAAGACTTGTCGCACTGCCTCTCAAAACTGCTCCGCATTAGCAATACTTGAAGGCTTTCAAACCACTGTTACCATGTGAATGAACGGTATAGTAGTGCTCTGTTCACGGAAAGAATAACAGTTGCTGAAAGCACCTGGTGTAACAGCATAAGAATAATGTCAGCACCACTCTATGTAGAACCAACTTGTACCAAAGTTGGGTCATATTTGAGCTCTCCTTCTTGGAACCTCCTTTTCAGCTCTCCCCATAGAAGACCCCTCTCTTTGAGTACTCCCTTAAGAAGACCCTTGTTTTCCATGGCTCGCCTTGAGAGATAGGGCAGTACCTCGTCCACTGGCCCAAATGGAACATACTTGTACACAGCATATCCCTTATTACCTGGGAGGAAAGCAAACAAAACGCATTTATCCCCTCCACCAAGGACAGAAGGAGTGAAAGCTATACGGCTGTGCTAGTGCTTAAAATAAGTGCTTAAAATAAGTGCCTAAGAGTATTGCTTAACTCCCTTGAATTCTAATCCAGTATCACAGGCTACCGACAATATATTACCCTGTGAGATCTCATTTATACACCTTCGCGGAGAGAGGTACAGGTGTATTTCCCTCTCCCAAGAACACAACCGTGTCGAAGGTTGGACTTGGACCTTCTGATTTTACTCAAACACACAAGTTCAGACTTGGTGTTGTTAGTTTAATTTACAATGTGCGATCAATCACGTACCAAGTGTAAATGAGATTGCATCAGACATTCCCAAAAGCTGTCCAAAGAAAACTTTCCTTTCCTGCGGTGAAATTCCCAATTCGTGCATCCTAAAGAGCAAATTGGAATTAAGTAGTACACAATTTACAGACCATATAATACTCGAATCAATAAGTTCTTTGCAATTGATTTTGTGATAAAAATTATCGCTATAAGCGAATGACATTTCGACCATTCAATGGTCAATAAAGTCAAGTTGAAAATGACCGTGAAAACGTTAATTTTAGCGTTAATTTTAATAATTTGCATATATACAAACAATTCAGCTGTTTCAATAATCTGTTTCATATTAATAGTGATTATAGATTTACATGACTGGGCTTTTGTCGTTTATGGAAACATGGTGAAAGAGAAGCACTAGTATTGTGCCAAAATGTGTTCATTCTGAGGTTTTCTGACAAACAACTTCTGACAAAAGCACCACTGATCACAGAACTGTTTGTTGATGGTGAGTCAGTACAGTTGTCCATTAAGTTAGAGAGCTACCCATCCAAGACAGAGTTAAGTAATGACCAAAGAAATGTCGGAGTGTCAGCTAAAGATGGAGCTGCAAGACCTGTGTGTACTTTCCTGAAACGAATGGAAAGCTGAGCCCCTTTTGGTGATTAGCAACATGTTAAGTTTAAAACCCTCTACACAAAAACTGTACAGTGTTTTGTCTTAACTCAACATACCTCTTGATGGCAACCTGGATGGAGTTCTCATTGTGAGTTGCGACAAGAACATTAGCATTTCCTCTCTTTGTTTCCTCCAACACAGCATTTAAAACTTCATCAAAACATTTACTTGTTGCCTTGTAGCTTGGGTGGATTGGATCAGTGTAGCCCAAAGTGCTTGCCCTCAGTCGTTCTTGTTCCATGTAGGCACCTCTGACTAGCTTGGCACCAAACATGTAACCTTCCCGTCTTGCCAGTTCCATGTCTGTCTGGATTTTGGAGTAGGTGTCCTAGAGACATAATGTGTGAAACTGGTAAACTAGATTACATACACCAATCAGGTATTTGTAGGTAGTCAGGTCCTTTAAAACCCAAGAGATTGACTGTAATAATGTATTGACCTTTGCATGCAATGCATTGCAGGCCTATTAGTGGCGAGAGTCTTTCAGGAAAGTCATGTAGCCTTGCACAACCTGTGAAGGTACTTGCAGGCACAGAGCTTTGTGAACGCAATGCTTGCCTATAGTTCTAGATAATATACCATAAAATTAGATGTACTTAATTTATAG